CTCTACAGCCTGTGTCCTCTAGTCTCTACAGCCTGTGTCCTCTAGTCTCTACAGCCTGTGTCCTCTAGCCTCTACAGCCTGTGTCCTCTAGCCTCTACAGCCTGTGTCCTCTAGTCTCTACAGCCTGTGTCCTCTAGTCTCTACAGCCTGTGTCCTCTAGCCTCTACAGCCTGTGTCCTCTAGTCTCTACAGCCTGCGTCCTCTAGTCTCTACAGTCTGCGTCCTCTAGCCTCTACAGCCTGTGTCCTCTAGTCTCTACAGTTTGTGTCCTCTAGTCTCTACAGCCTGTGTCCTCTAGCCTCTACAGCCTGTGTCCTCTAGCCTCTACAGCCTGCGTCCTCTAGTCTCTACAGCCTGTGTCCTCTAGCCTCTACAGTCTGCGTCCTCTAGTCTCTACAGTCTGCGTCCTCTAGTCTCTACAGCCTGTGTCCTCTAGTCTCTACAGCCTGTGTCCTCTAGTCTCTACAGCCTGTGTCCTCTAGTCTCTACAGTCTGTGTCCTCTAGTCTCTACAGCCTGTGTCCTCTAGCCTCTACAGCCTGCGTCCTCTAGCCTCTACAGCCTGTGTCCTCTAGCCTCTACAGCCTGTGTCCTCTAGTCTCTACAGCCTGTGTCCTCTAGTCTCTACAGCCTGTGTCCTCTAGTCTCTACAGCCTGTGTCCTCTAGACTCTACAGCCTGTGTCCTCTAGTCTCTACAGCCTGTGTCCTCTAGTCTCTACAGCCTGTGTCCTCTAGTCTCTACAGCCTGTGTCCTCTAGTCTCTACAGCCTGTGTCCTCTAGTCTCTACAGCCTGTGTCCTCTAGCCTCTACAGCCTGTGTCCTCTAGTCTCTACAGCCTGTGTCCTCTAGTCTCTACAGTCTGTGTCCTCTAGTCTCTACAGCCTGTGTCCTCTAGTCTCTACAGCCTGTGTCCTCTAGTCTCTACAGCCTGTGTCCTCTAGTCTCTACAGCCTGTGTCCTCTAGTCTCTACAGCCTGCGTCCTCTAGTCTCTACAGCCTGTGTCCTCTAGCCTCTACAGCCTGTGTCCTCTAGCCTCTACAGCCTGTGTCCTCTAGTCTCTACAGCCTGTGTCCTCTAGTCTCTACAGCCTGTGTCCTCTAGCCTCTACAGCCTGTGTCCTCTAGTCTCTACAGCCTGCGTCCTCTAGTCTCTACAGTCTGCGTCCTCTAGCCTCTACAGCCTGTGTCCTCTAGTCTCTACAGTTTGTGTCCTCTAGTCTCTACAGCCTGTGTCCTCTAGCCTCTACAGCCTGTGTCCTCTAGCCTCTACAGCCTGCGTCCTCTAGTCTCTACAGCCTGTGTCCTCTAGCCTCTACAGCCTGTGTCCTCTAGTCTCTACAGTCTGCGTCCTCTAGTCTCTACAGTCTGTGTCCTCTAGTCTCTACAGCCTGTGTCCTCTAGTCTCTACAGCCTGTGTCCTCTAGTCTCTACAGTCTGTGTCCTCTAGTCTCTACAGCCTGTGTCCTCTAGCCTCTACAGCCTGCGTCCTCTAGCCTCTACAGTCTGTGTCCTCTAGCCTCTACAGTCTGTGTCCTCTAGCCTCTACAGTCTGTGTCCTCTAGCCTCTACAGCCTGTGTCCTCTAGTCTCTACAGCCTGTGTCCTCTAGTCTCTACAGCCTGTGTCCTCTAGTCTCTACAGCCTGTGTCCTCTAGTCTCTACAGCCTGCGTCCTCTAGTCTCTACAGTCTGTGTCCTCTAGTCTCTACAGTCTGTGTCCTCTAGCCTCTACAGTCTGTGTCCTCTAGTCTCTACAGCCTGTGTCCTCTAGTCTCTACAGCCTGTGTCCTCTAGTCTCTACAGCCTGTGTCCTCTAGTCTCTACAGCCTGTGTCCTCTAGTCTCTACAGCCTGTGTCCTCTAGTCTCTACAGCCTGTGTCCTCTAGCCTCTACAGCCTGTGTCCTCTAGTCTCTACAGTCTGCGTCCTCTAGTCTCTACAGTCTGTGTCCTCTAGTCTCTACAGCCTGTGTCCTCTAGCCTCTACAGCCTGCGTCCTCTAGCCTCTACAGTCTGTGTCCTCTAGCCTCTACAGTCTGTGTCCTCTAGCCTCTACAGTCTGTGTCCTCTAGCCTCTACAGCCTGTGTCCTCTAGTCTCTACAGCCTGTGTCCTCTAGTCTCTACAGCCTGTGTCCTCTAGTCTCTACAGCCTGTGTCCTCTAGTCTCTACAGCCTGCGTCCTCCAGTCTCTACAGTCTGTGTCCTCTAGTCTCTACAGTCTGTGTCCTCTAGCCTCTACAGTCTGTGTCCTCTAGTCTCTACAGCCTGTGTCCTCTAGTCTCTACAGTCTGTGTCCTCTAGTCTCTACAGCCTGTGTCCTCTAGTCTCTACAGCCTGTGTCCTCTAGTCTCTACAGCCTGTGTCCTCTAGTCTCTACAGCCTGTGTCCTCTAGTCTCTACAGCCTGCGTCCTCTAGTCTCTACAGTCTGTGTCCTCTAGTCTCTACAGTCTGTGTCCTCTAGCCTCTACAGTCTGTGTCCTCTAGTCTCTACAGCCTGTGTCCTCTAGTCTCTACAGTCTGTGTCCTCTAGTCTCTACAGCCTGTGTCCTCTAGTCTCTACAGCCTGTGTCCTCTAGTCTCTACAGCCTGTGTCCTCTAGTCTCTACAGTCTGTGTCCTCTAGTCTCTACAGCCTGCGTCCTCTAGTCTCTACAGTCTGTGTCCTCTAGTCTCTACAGCCTGTGTCCTCTAGTCTCTACAGCCTGTGTCCTCTAGCCTCTACAGCCTGTGTCCTCTAGTCTCTACAGCCTGTGTCCTCTAGTCTCTACAGCCTGTGTCCTCTAGCCTCTACAGCCTGTGTCCTCTAGCCTCTACAGCCTGTGTCCTCTAGTCTCTACAGTCTGTGTCCTCTAGTCTCTACAGCCTGCGTCCTCTAGTCTCTACAGCCTGTGTCCTCTAGTCTCTACAGCCTGTGTCCTCTAGTCTCTACAGCCTGTGTCCTCTAGTCTCTACAGCCTGTGTCCTCTAGTCTCTACAGCCTGTGTCCTCTAGTCTCTACAGCCTGTGTCCTCTAGTCTCTACAGCCTGTGTCCTCTAGCCTCTACAGCCTGTGTCCTCTAGTCTCTACAGCCTGTGTCCTCTAGCCTCTACAGCCTGTGTCCTCTAGTCTCTACAGCCTGTGTCCTCTAGCCTCTACAGCCTGCGTCCTCTAGCCTCTACAGCCTGTGTCCTCTAGTCTCTACAGCCTGTGTCCTCTAGCCTCTACAGCCTGCGTCCTCTAGCCTCTACACAGCCTGTGTCCTCTAGTCTCTACAGTCTGTGTCCTCTAGCCTCTACAGCCTGTGTCCTCTAGTCTCTACAGCCTGTGTCCTCTAGCCTCTACAGCCTGTGTCCTCTAGCCTCTACAGCCTGCGTCCTCTAGCCTCTACAGCCTGTGTCCTCTAGTCTCTACAGTCTGTGTCCTCTAGCCTCTACAGCCTGTGTCCTCTAGTCTCTACAGCCTGTGTCCTCTAGTCTCTACAGCCTGTGTCCTCTAGTCTCTACAGCGCTGCTCAACACCAGGGCTTTGACTTCAACATTCAAATATAATTCTAAAATAAAAAAAAAAGATATAAATATTTGAACAAATATTAGACAGCCCTTATAATTCGAAATGTATTTAATGACTGCAAATAAAATAGTTAGCTCCCAAAGGTTTCACCGGGAGGTGCTAGGCAGATAACAGCTAAGCTAGCTAGCTCCCTGGAACTACATGTTAATGGTTACTTCCGGGTTTTTCGCGATCGCTTTTTGTCACATTAAAATAGTAATTTGGTCATGAAAACGATAAGAAATTCTGAAATCGTCCGTGCATGTGTATTAAGGATGTATATGTATACTGTATTGTCCGATTAACATATAATGGTGTTGATTGATTGATATGTATTTGTTTATTGAGCGTTGCTAGCTCGGCTAGCTCGGCTAGCTTCTCTCGTTGTACTAGTATTTCGTTGTACAGTATTTTACACACCTGAATTACAAACAAAGACAAACAGAGATTGCATTAGGGCAGCGGTCATTGTTGATTTGAGAGTTCAGTTATCAAGAAAAAATGAACGGAAGGATTACATTCAAATCAATGGAGTGTTCTACTGCTGCTGTGAGGAGCTGTAATGTTTTAATGAATAAATTTGGACGCGAAACTAGCGGCATTATTTTACTTATATATTGTGTTAGCAGTGCGTTGCTTTAGTACCATTTCATAAGTGATTGTTGCACAAGAAGTTGTGATAATGCTAATGTTAGCATACATATCAGATCGCAAATTGAACTAGATGGCTCAGTGTTATGAGAGCGTAGGGAAATGAGAAGCCTGTGAGCGAGTTGGGGGGCGGTGCTAAACATTCAAACCTTGCAGAAACGGGTATAGCGCCTTTAAGAGCCACACGACAAATGGAGTGAGAACCAAACACCATCTCCTGGTGCTCCTCCGAGAACCTCACTGAAAAAGTTATGTGCAGCCCTGAATATAAACTTTCAATAGAATAATACAAAAAATATATAACTTCCACATTAGGAAAGATAATAAAACAACCCAAAATAATGTGAGAATCAAACATATTTCTCAATACAATGAGTTAACAAGAGTCAAATATTGACTCACAGGGCTCTTTAAGTAAGCAACATAAAAAACAAGAATGTTGTGGTTTGTTCCGTTTGATTTGTTCACAACATTTACACATATAACATGTATTGTCAATGAAAGCAAAAATGAAGGTACCTCAGCTTTAATTCAGTGAGTTTTGGTTGTGCTTCGGGAGGAGACACGGGGGAGACACGGGGGAGACACGGGGGAGACACGGGGGAGACACGGGGGAGACACGGGGGAGACACGGGGGAGACACGGGGGAGACACGGGGGCAACAAGCTGGGGATGGTCCTGTACGCGCGTTTATGGTTCTGTAACATGGTTCTACATCTTGGCACATTCACCTTTGTCTTTCTCCTAATTCTCTAATTAGTCTCTATAATGGAAGAAGTTTTGCACAATAAGTGGAGAGTATACAGATGCCCTCAACATTATTCAAACTAACTGGAGAATTGCAAGACTCCATAAAATCAAAACTCAGAGTGTTTTGATAGTTTGACAAATTGCCCCGGGACTCACCGGACTCTGCCCCCCCTCGCTCATGCAGTAGACCCGGCTCTGGTAAGAAGTGCCTGGCTTCAGGCCCTCGCACACGTGCTCTGGGGAGGGGCCAGAGTACACCAGCTCCCACGACACGCCTGCACAGCACACGCACACACACACACAGGGGTTAAACAGGGAAACTTCATATGAACAACTGAACATGTCCATAAACAGCTGCAGACGATCAGTTCTGGACTCACCACTTAGGCCTTCGGACAGCTCCACCACATACTTTGTCACCTCTGCGCCGCCGCTATCTTTTGGCGGTTCTGGACAAAAATGTACAACATGAAGGCCTTGGTTTACAGAGCTGCAGTTTTTCCAGCCGTTTATTATTAGCCAACGAAAGAAGGGAATATCTCAATGATTGAAAAGCAGTTCTTGAAAAAAAAAAAAAAAAAGACTATAAAAGTTGCTTTATACTTTCTCCAGTCTTTCAGTATAACACAGCACTTAGACTTACAAAACTGTGTGCATTATGCAGTATAAATAAAAATGAACTAGATGTGTGTGCAAAAAAAAGCCCTCCCATTGACCAATGAAATGATTGAACAAAGTATCAATAGTAGTGAATGAAAATGGATGCTTACCCCAGGCCAGTTTGAAGCTCTGTGGCTGCGCTCTGCCCCTAATGGCCGGTCTGGTGGGGCAGCCCGGGGCGTCTGGCTTGGTGAGAAACTCAACCACCTGACTGGGGTTACTTTTGCCCTCAGAGTTGTACGCCGCCACCTGCAAGAGACATGTGAATGTTAATCATGAGGGCTCTTTTGACACGCTGGGTGAGGACAGGTGGAAAAGGTCAATGCGTTTCCAGGGAGGTGATGACGAGCGCTGCGTAGACTGCCATCTACGACGCAACACTTCAATGTCAGAAGCAAGAAGCCGAATGATGACCAGACCAAAGTTAGTTAAAGAGAAGTTGTGAAGTATCATAGAATCAAACGTCTTCAGTCTGAATTTTTTAAAGTCTGAATTGACTCAAGATGTCCCGTAGTAGGCCAGGGAAAGCTATAGGATTCTACCAAATTAGCCAGAATAATGCTGCCCCGTAACTCGGCAACAGATACAGAAAAAGAAAATGGAAGGATGAAAGAAGATTCCAGAAGGAAGGATACTAGAAACAGTAAAGAATCAATCAAAAGAGACAAAAGGCTGTTAGAACAGGATCAAAGCTCATGGAAGTTTTAATAAAGTTAAAAGTTTACTTTACACAATGTTTATTTCCCCTTCTCATTTACCCACTTGAGTGATTCATCCAACTGCTTCACCGACCCCTTTTGAAAGTGATGTGTTGTGGTGTTGTGTAAAATTGTGTTGTGCAAGGTTTTAAATAAACATCTTGATTGATTCACGCATGTAGGAGCGATCTTTATTCCCCTTGAAGTGTATAGATTCTAACTCCATAGCAGACCAAAGCATAATAACTAATCAATAGCAAAGGTTAAGCAGGAGACACGTCAGCTTGTGTGCAGTCATGTGGAGCCAAAAACAAGGATTAACAAATCAGTTTATTTTAAAAAACACAAAGAATTTATATAGAAACCACCAAAGCACATTAAAAGGACGATAGTTATTTTTACAGACAAATACCAAATGAAGTAAAGTAACTGAATACATTCAAAAGGAAATTCCTGTCATGACCCTGCAACTTCACAGTTAGAGAATACAACGGTAGCTAATTTAACTTTCTTATTTCCTGCTAACACTCTATAGGCAGCTCTAATCGTGGGTACAATTCACTCTAGGCAGCTCTAATCCTTGCAGAAGTCAAATAATGCATGACTTTATTTCAGATGACATACAGATACATACCACGTATACAAAACCATTACTGTGTTTGATTGGCCAGAAAGCTCTCTTGACCTCCCGACCTCACCAAAAGATGAGGCAGAGGAGCTGAAGGCTCTCTTGATGCACCCTGGTCTTCATCACCTGCTCAGGTGATTGAACAGTGGCTCAGACTCAGAGCCTCTATGCCACGTCAAATTAGGGCAGGATTTCAAGCAATAGGACCCAAACCAAGTACGAAGTACATATGCATGATTATTATTTTGAGAAGGCCCACATTTCTCTGTTTAAAATAATGTTTTTCATTGATTTCATGTAATCTAATCGTGTGAGATTTTGAATTTGTTTTTTTTAGCTGTAAGCCATAATCATCAACATTCAAACAAAAGCTTGAAATGTGGAACTTTACATGCCACGAGTGAATGACATATGATAGTTACACCTGTAGATCTAGAAATAAAGAGAAGCCAAAAGGACAAAACAGCTGCTGTGATCCACAAAGTAGTGCAGGCTTTAGTGCCACAATCAAATAAACATGTGCTCTGCACAGCTGCACGCTCACAGACCTCCAGGTGGCCGTGCTTAACACACGGAGCTTTAGTGCAGAGTGGAATACTTTTATTCATGCATTATTTGTTATAGAAATGGTCATTTTAATAATAAATAGTGAAGAAATAAAGAGCGCACCTGCTGATGGTCAGGGACCATGCACCTCATGTTAAGACAGGAGTCAGATGCCTAAAGGATGAATATTCCCATGTACGCTATGAAAGCAGTTCAGTTAACAATGTTCTGCAAAGCTCAGATAATCCATTTAGTAAGAAATATTAGCAGCTAATATCCATGTAAAGACTTAATCTGCCCATTCTCACAGGAGGACATTGTGCCACAGTGAATGACGGCGAGCAGTGTTGGGCACGTTACTTTGAAAAAGTAATTAGTTAGAGTTACTAGTTACTTCTCCCAAAAAGTAACTGAGTTACTCCACTATAAAAGTAACTAGTTACCAGTAAAAGTAACTATTGCTTTTTCATTTTGTTCTGTAACATAATGTGCACCCGACGTGCACATTTTTACCTTTACCCTCAGTGAGTTTGAAAAGTCTGTTTTTCTGCTGAAGTCCTGTTCACTCTTCATCTCTCTCTGTGCTGTAAGCACTAAACACCAACACGCTCCACTGTGAATGTGGAAACACCGGTGAAGCACTGACTTCAGCCCAATCAGATGAACATATACATCATATAAATCAAGTGGACCTAGAGAGCGGATTATTCACACTTTGTTTGGCTACAGCAGAATTTGTTTCACGCACGCATTGTTTGTTCATACAAAACACAAAAGTATGAAAAAGCACATTTAAAAGTGTGTTATGGGTCTTACCTTATAAATGACCTGCACCGACCACTTCAGACCAGTTTCATGTTATGTCCAGATAATAGAAGATTTGTAATCCTCCATTTGGAAATAAGTCCAATGAGTTTTTAAAAGTAAACCAAACGGGTGTCTCCTCCATCAACTCCTCTCGTGTTTCGCTGCATCCAATTTCTAAAACCAACCGTCTTACACTTCACCTCACTTTCTTATCATTCCTATCGTCATTGAAACATTACCCTAAGTGCATTTTGATTTATCTTAAAATGTGTTATATGTATGTTAGCCAAACCTGTTGCTGTCCTTAGCAGATAAACCAGGAAGAGAAAGGAGCTTATCGATGGAATTGTATGCAGCCTTCTGCGCTCACATGAGCTCCTCTGAGGCTGACCTCACGCTGATACAAGCCGTGGTTGAGCACGATTAAGACCAATATTTGTTTCAAAAACACAGTTTATGACCATCCTCTCAACTGTAGACATTGTAAAGGAAATATGTTTTACATCAGCCAATAATTGCTGCGAGGTTTTCTCATCCTCCCTTCTCTCATGACAACACGAGTCCTATCAAGAACTCGTCCTGTCCTGTAGTTTGTTCATTGCTATTCACCCGTTGTCCCATTGTCTGTTTCATGGTACGATGACGGGATCTCTGAGCCTGGCCTCTTCCATCTACACCTGCGGACTGCCCCGCCCGACCCGCCTGGGAGTGCTTCAGTCCTGCACCGGACCTGTCCACGTTCAGCGTCCACTGGTCCACGTTCTGTAGCTAGCTTAGGTCCTGGATCATTAGCCTGTCCGTCCAGAGGAGCGGATCCCTTTCTCATATGGGTCTCCCTCCCTGTGGGTTTCCCTAGTTCTCCTCCAAGGTTTCTCACTTTTTCCCACTGGGTTTTTTAAGAGTTGTTCCTTGTGGATGCAGGAGGGTCTTGTTGGACAGTTAGTGTCCAACAGAAAGGATTGGTGATGATCAGGACACTTTAGCATTCTACAACATGTATGGACATTTTCTTCTGTGTGTGCTTTATATTCTTCATGTGTTTTAACTGTTGATTCTCTGACCTGTGTTGGTGATTTCAATGGTTTTGTTAAGTCTCTGAGATGACTTCTGTTGTGACCTAGGGCTATACAAGAATAAATTGTATTGTATTGTATTGTATTGTAAGAAGTAAAAAAAAAAAGTTCATAGTGCGACTTGAGTAACGCGCAGTAACGGGGCGTGGGCAATGATAACGGCGTTATAGTTACAGTCAAAGTAATTAGTTAGATTACGCTTTACTGAAAAAAGTAACGCCGTTATTCCCATCACTGCCGGCGAGTGCGGAAGTCTACAATAAGCACCCAAATGCCAACCATTACTTTGTTAAAATGATGTAGTAAATATTATCTAGACTTTTATTTATAGTAATATTTTTCCTGATTTACAAACCTAATAAAAAACATGTAAATGGTAGAGGAGGCTCTGGAGATAACCAGTCCCAGTTAAAATGTGGCCACAACCTTTAATCATATGTTAGATATAATGCGATGAATAGTATACACAGTATTTCATTTTAGACGATAATGGGTAAAAATGACAGAGTGTGGCCTGAGTCTAGCACCAGGGGAAACGGTATTTAAAGATGAGTTCACACATTTGAGCAGCCCCATCACAGCCTCCTCCAAACGGGTGCGTCACATGGTCCCACTGAGGGCCTTGAGGCGCTCCCCTCTCTATGTGTCACGCTCGCAGATGCCCCGTCGTGAATGCACTTACCCGAAACTTGTACTTGGTGCTTCGGTGGAGGTTCTTGACGGTGCAGGAGAGCTCGTCGCCATCGTAGCTTGGCTGGAAACCATAGCCCTGGGATACAAACATAGGATGACGAGTAATGAGAATACAGATCGAGCGAGGAAGCCATAACCAACAAGAAATCAGGAAGTGGGTTCCTTTATATCAATCTGAAAGAGCTGGGGCTGAAGGATACAAATATATAAAACTGATTTTAAAATCAGACTTACAACAAATGTTTAGGTGAACTACAATTACAATTCCACAATGAATCAGTCCTTCTGTACGATGCATGTGTGGGAGCTCATTATCGATGGACTACAGGTGTATAAATTAGTTCCCCTGCTATATTTTTTATTGCTCATCTTTTACATCTGTTTTTTGTTGTAACATGTATAATGCATTTTTAATTCATGATTTTATTGATTGGTTTCAATACATTTTTTTGTTTTGATACAAAACTAGAATAAGACTGATTTACAGATCAGTGACCAATTTCTGGTCGTGGGTTGCATAGACATGTGAATTGGGTCATATATGGCTCCCAGCTTACCTCTGTCTGGTCTCAAATGTATTAGTGTTCTCAAACTACTAACTTAATTTGGATACAATACGTGAATATGACTGCTATATGCATCAAAAAAGAGGATCTTTTGATCTTGTTCGTAGAATAAAATCCATGAATTGTCATTTTATTACTACTACTATATCATGAGTATTGAAGGATGTTGTGTCCAAACTAATCAAAGGAAATATTTCATAGAGAACTATTTTTACTACAATAACAGCTGCAGCTCGGTTCTACACGTCTACACATGTTAAATACTACGTACCGAGCCTTCCTCATCCATCTCCAGGATGTAGTAGATGTCGTCCTCCTTCGGGGAGCTCTGCGGCCGCTGCCACTTGAGACAGAGCCAGGTGACCCCGGCCTTCTCCAACTCAGGGGGGAAGGGCGGCAAGGGCACGGAGCAAGAGGTGAACACGTCCACCACCTCACTGAACTCACTGTGGACACAAAAACACAAGGCATTTTGGCGCAAAACCAAGAACTGGTCGCCATCCCCCAGGAGAAAGACCCACTTCCATTTGCTCGCTTTCACACAGCAAAACTGGGGGAAAATGGACAAACTATGTATATTGTTCTCTCCTAAAATGTTTATTAGCAAGAGCAAATATGTTATGTTTAATATTAAATATATATAAATATCCTTTCAACAGGGATTTGAATAACTGTGGCGGATATGTGTCCATGCAAATCTTTCTCTTTTAATCGCAGCATTAGCCTTGTTGTTTTTCATTAGCACGGGACGGGTTTCTTTGATTTGGCTTTTCCTGATGCAGCCTCACCGCGTCAGCCCCGGCAACGTACATTAGCATTCTCTCAGGTGAATTGGATTTGTTATGTTCTTAAGCGTTTGAGTTTTTTTCACAAACATTTATAAACGCTAGAATATGGCCAAAACAAGGATATCTCCGCTTAACTTTCAAGTAAAAGTGCATATGAGAGAAGGATTGAGGCCGCAGATATGGAGAGTGCAAAACCCTACCTCTCGCCCATGTCGTTTTTGGCTGCGAGGCGGAAGGAGTATCGCGACGCCGGGGAGAGCTTGGTGACTCGGTACTGCTTCTGCGGGCCGTAGTAGCACTGCTCGAACGTGCCGGAGCCTTTTCCCTGTGACGGACAAGTTCCACAGCTTAAAACACTGACAGTGAACAGCTGCAGAAAGTGTTTTTGAAAGAGAATCTAAACATACCTCGTCCCACTGAAGAATGTAGTTTTGGATTTTGGAACCGTTGTCACATGGAGCCTAGGAGATTTAAAAACGTTTTGTTCAACGAGTAAATTTGAATGAGTACAATGAAAACGTTGAAAACAAATGTGCGATTGTCTGCTACACAGGTTGAGGGATTCAAATGCCTGCATTGATCAGTGGACATGTATTGGTGGTGGCGAAAAACGAGAAGTTGTCAAGTTACGCTTACTTTGATTACTTTGCACCCTGTCACAGCTTTAGATCAGTTTTCAGACAGAGGCCCAGTCCCAATACTCGCACTTCCGCCCTCGCACGCCTCATTTAAAATTTACACTTAGTACAATAATTTTAGGATGTATAAAAATTACCACATAACAGTTACCCACATTTAACTTTGAATTATACAGCTATCTCAAATAACAAATAACCAATATACATTTATTTTAGCGTGTGTGGAGCGACAGTAGCTCAGTTGGTAGAGCATTGGCCTTCAGGCCTAAAGGTTGTGGGTTCAATTCCCACCTCTGCACCTTCTCCACCGACTCCCACTGATGACTACTGTCGTTGTGTCCTTGGGCAAGACACTTAACCCCACTTTGCCCAAAGCCCCCGCTGAAAGATCAAGGCTATGCTCACACTCAGAGAGCAGCCGTCCTCCTGTGGACTCACCACCTGCAGAGGGTCAGTGAGGGGCTGGTGCTATGAGACTTGGGTGGCATCTCTGACTGCCACCCCCCTGACCCAGAAATGGATTAAAGGGTAGAAAATGGATGGATGGATGGGGTGTGTGGAGCAACTAATTATGTTTCCCACAGGGTCAGACAAAATGACCTTTAATTTTTATTAAGTTTAGGTCTGAAAACGACCATCTCTTGACGAGTCGATGACGTAACCTGCACTCAGTGCGCACTGTCCCAAATCCGCCTTTTTTGCTTGTAACCTGTCACTCAAACCTTTGTGTGCACTTCAGACAAATGCACACTTCGTAGAGGAGTGTAGGGTGCAGTGTGGGTATTGGGCTTGGGCCAGAATATTAAGACTGCCCTCACTCAGCCAATCAGCTTTCAAGCAAATAGTGACTCTTACTAGTATGCCAAAGATGAGATGATTTCTAATAAAATTATGGCATGTTGTGGTCTGATTTGTTCACAACATTTTACTTTCACTCTGTTAGGTCAAAGTAATTTATGAAGAAAAAAAAGTAAGGTAGCCCAGATTTAAATATATGTAAGAATCAGCATATGGGGCAGTGTTGGCTCGTCTCATGCAACAAAATATAGGATTTTTTAACAGAGTGCCCCAGACTTCTCTTTTGACGGATTTTTTCTCCTACATTGAAGATGCCAATACTCAATGATCGTATCATGTGGGGCATTTATGAAGCCGTTTATCTAAGCTCACAGTGTTCAAAGGACATAAATACATGGCATGGCCGTCGCGGATAACAACTATGTAGCAGACAAATGCACGATACGTCTATCTTAAACAAGAGCGCCTCCGAAACGAGCCGTAGTCTGAGTTGAGTGCAGTAGAATAGATGTGGTCCATTGGCTGCTTTATGGAGCACTTCCTCTGGCCCAGCTCCATCACTGTCACTTCCTCACCTTCCACTGCAGCACCAGGGTGTTCTTGGTCCCACTGGCCTTCCGTGGAGGGTTGGGGGGCTCAGGCTCGCAGGTGAGTGTGGTGAAGCTGGCCGCCTCCGAAGCGCTTCCACGTAAACAGTTAGAAATGGCCTGGACTCTGAGGAGAAAGAGCAAAGTGTCATTATGATGTTCTTTTGTGTGAGTTATGAAAACAAAGAAAGAAGGAAAGTGGGACAACCTGACGTGGTAGTCTGTTGCCGGGCGAAGGTCTTCTAAAGTTGCACTTAAATCTTCGCCACTGAACAAAAGGGGGACATTAAACTAAATATTAATATATAACATGTTTGTTATATATTCATAGTTAAATTCCAAATATTGTGTATGTTGTATTTTTTGTCTTGTTGCAATTGTGACATATTGTGACTTACTAGTTTGACCAGATTCGTTTTATGCACTTTCTAATTGTTATTTTCACAGCTTTACACTTATTACTAGGAGTGTGACAATATATCAATATGGTGGTGTATCGTGATACAATCAATTACCGATATGCCTTTGCTAAGTCTCGATTAATATATATATATTTCAAACATTTTTATATATTTTTTTCTCAAGCTTTATTTTATTGATACTTGATATATGGCTACATTATGCATTCCTCAATTTCTGTAGAATGTTCGTATTGATTTTATTGGATGTAAGACAATGTAAGATTTTTACTGAAATGTGCAAGTGGAAAGGAATTTTGGCTTGTTCACTTCCAGTTATCTTGAAATAAAGTCTATTTTTCACTTAATTTATGAAATATATATAACAAAAATATTATTGTAGACCAAAATATGGATAATTGCTGAATTGTCATATCGTGAGCTTTGTATCGCATGACGTACCGTGAGGTACCCTGAGGTTCCCACCCCAACTTATTACCATGTGGCAAAAAGAATATCATGATTTCTATCAGAATTAAACATTATAACAGTGTTGTCAGTTATCAGGAAATCACAAAGTAGCATTCGGCACTGTGCTTAAAAAATAAAATAGTCAATTATGATATGATATAAAAAGCATGCAAAAAATATGAATATGAATAAAACCCAACACACAAGAGACATACAACAAGGGCTGTAATTGAAAATAATTAGTTAGTTGGGTGAAACCCATTAATTATCACATTTATGGACATCTAACAACACTTATGGACATAGCTCAACTCCCCCCTATGGACCAATACTGGACTGTTCTCTGATCTGTGCAATTTCAACGGTTTGTTAAGTCCTCTGAGATAACTGCGATGCCACACAAGAAAATCTTTATGGACACTAGATTTAACCATAGTCTGTATATAGATTGACAATGCCAACTCCCTAGCTCAATGAAGCACAATAAGGAAGTGCCCATGTATGAAGTTCTTTCTCCAACTCTGGCTCCTGTTGCATGTTAAACTAAACTAGTCTCTTTCAGTGACCGTTAGTGCTACATTCACCATTTTGGGATAAAAAAATCCATGGTTTAGTTTAATTTCTGATTATTTGCTTTTATTTTCATAATGTTTTTGTAAATCCAGCTATGAGCCTTAATTTGTGGGTGTAACTCCAGATTGCCCGAGCAACCATCTGAGCCACACGGCGCCCCTGCTACAGCCTTTTACTTATGGCGCCACTAACATGATAAGTACAAGATTGTGACATACGCAAGCTGTACTTACTCTTCATAAAATCTTTTTTTTTTGTTAATTAGAAATATTTTTCAAATAATCAAAATAATGTAATTCTGAAGTAATTATACCTATATCTGAGTCATAAAACCTATAGCATAACTATTGTAAAGGACAGTATAAAGTACCCATAAAAGTATATATGGATTGATTCAATTCAATTCCAATTTCTTTTTGTATACTTCTAAATCACAAAAGTAGTTATCTTAGAGGACTTTACAAGCTGTCGACTCGACAACACAGATCAGAGAATCAAAAAGTTCAAAAAGATATGCAATGATTTAAAAAGACGAATAGAACCATTGGTCCATAAGGGGCAGAGGACCATAAATGCTGAGAACGTCCATAAATGTTGTTAATTCTATTGTACAATGATACAATGGAAATCTTCCTGAAATAACAAATATATGGCATTATTTTTCTTTTGTTCGCAAGAGTTACCTCCAAATATTGCTCAAAACACAGACTAGCCAATTGTTCAGTCCAGGCTTTTGTAATCTAATAACAGGTTTGCTCTCACTCTTTGAGGCAGTGTGCGTGCGTGTTCTGGTGAGAGGCGTACCAGTACACGGTCTTGTACTTCCCGTCCTTCCCGCTGAAGGAGATGCACACTTCATAGCTAAGAGCCTCTGGAACAGCAGGCTCCTCCTCCGCCTTTCCGCTCCCCGTCTCGCCTTCTGCTTTGGAGGGGGCACTCCAGTTTACCACTGCTTCTCTGGCCTGAATGTCCGACACCTGGACACATTTGGGGTGGGAGGATGAAAAATCGATACAGAAAATTGGTACTTACGACTACCTGAAAGCATAATAGTCTCACTGGGGTAACGATAAATTATAAAGAAGTACTCACCATTGGTTTACTGATGGTACTTAGAAGAGCGAGCAGGGCCTTCGCCTCTTCATCCAGCTCTGTGGAGTCATATTCAGCAGTTTACCACAATTATACTTAACAAAATGTTAAATATCTTTTCTGAACGCACACAAAACAGTTTTATTGATTTTGCATCAAACAAGAATAGCCAAATGTATTAAAAAAAAAAGTGCTCAGCGGGATCAGCAATGAAAAATATCTCGTAACATTTGAGTAAAGAGGAAATCTTTACAGTAAATAAAAATCCTTTAATAAACAGGGACTAGGCTGCTCATTTCGGCTACGAGGGCCTTCTTCAGGGCATTTAATCAAATGAATAATCTGAACTCAAAACAACATACTGAGGATTTGCTGCAAAACCTTGATGATTTCATTTTAGCTGCATGGAATGGCACATATTTAATTTAAGACTTTTGTTCCTTCCTGCTTTGTGGTGGAATGGGAAAATGGTTTACTGCAATATCATTTTTTCGGTCATAATTATAATCTATTGCCCCTGTGGCCCATCATTAATTTTCAAAATATCTTAATATGTATTTAAATCAAATTCATAATATAAATTAGTCTACTGACATTAAACATGAAGCTGCGTCCCACCAGCTCTTTTACAGTACTGTCAGTGATAAGAGAAATGGCTGCACCAAAGACACTTCCAGCCCACAGACAATCAGAGACACATTATTACAGTTTACACTCCCTACTCAAGACTTGACTGAGACTGGACCGAGTTAGACGCCTGCACAGACTACACAGGACATTATAACACTTTTGTAAAGAAAAAACACCGCCTGTACTTCAAGTATACACTACAACACGTTTGAATGAATTCACAACAAAATTCTGATAAAACAACAAGCTGGGTTTTCTTTAATTTCATTTGTCCTGCAGTGCCTGAAGTGCAGCATCAATGAGGAATGTATACAAACAGTACATTTGCCTAAATAAAACTGTTTCTGCGCACCTGCTGAATCTCCGTTCTTGCCGGGGCCCATCTGTGCGTCTGGGCCGCCGTGGCTGGCATGTCCTGGCTCGGTCTCTACACACTTGCCGCTGACTCCGTTGTGGATGTCCAGAGTGGAGGGGCTGCTGCAGCTCTTGTGGGGCGAGGGCGGGGGGCTGTCCTTCACTGGCCCCCCGCCTCCCTGACGGTCCCTGAGCTTCTTCTGGAGTCGCTCGTATGTTTTACTGGTTCTGTCGTCCCTGTTAACAAAGGGTGGGCGGCCATGTTGCGAGTGGGAATCGCCAGAGACTGGGATAGAAAAAACAAAAATAACTTATTTTACAATTGTCACGTTTCCACCGCAGGAAATATCTTTTTCCATGGACATTTACAGAGGGAAAGAGCCAAAGCAAGGATGGGGGAAGTCTTTTTTTTGTGCAGCACAAGACCAAAGGTAAAAAGCTTACATGAACGTGATTTATTTTGTGCCAATTTAATGTGTTATATCTTTTTAATGCAAAGTCTGATATTGTCTACACGTACGCAACGATCAAAACTCATGACGTCGCAGAGGGGTTCAAATCTGCAGTGGAGACAAGGCCACCGAGAGGCCGAGGGAGAGGACGGTTCCTGTAACTGTCCCACCCTCCTCCTTTTACCAGGAACTCCTGTAGTGGAAACATGACTTATGATATTTACTATCCAAGCCCCCCTTAGGAAGAAGAAAACATTGGCTACAGAAATATACTTGCCTTGCACCTGAAGCAAAATCAACAGATAACCATACTCCCTTGTGCCAAACCTTCACTATGTGAAGGTTTGGCAATAAACAAATAGCTTGAGAGGTTGAAGAGTTTTACTTGAAAAGTAAGTCACTTTTGAAAATTCTTCCTGAATTTCTCCAACGGGGATCAAAAAAGTATCCATCTATCTATCTATTCTTTTACGCACTACCTCGTCACCATGTAAGTAAGTAAGAAATCTTTATTTATATACCGCCTTTCACAAAGCACTTTACAATTGTGGGAAATTGTCCTCTCACTCCACAGAGATGGGAGTGAGGTCGCCAGTACAGGAGGCACAGGCCAGACCTATTGTTCATGTTTTTAGTGGTAGGGGAAACCCATGGATCTATAATAAAAACTGGATAGAGTATTACTAGCTTACAGCTGTCCCACCCATGGCCACAGGGGGCGCTTGTGGTACTGCAGACTAAATTCACGCGGGCTACCAAGAAAAAAGTCACATAGAACTCAATGTAAACTAAAAAAGCTGGGCCGAGAACCTACAGCTTTCATAAAGGTTGGATTTGGGGGGATTTTAGTGTCCCTTGTCATCCTGAACTTTTTTTCTTCTTAAATCCTTCGGTTTTCTTTAAATCAACACTTTACTGCCACACACACTCCTCGTATCCTTCCCGCTCTGATGAGCAGCTCTGATTGGTCAAAGCGCAGCCGAGCCCCTCTGTGCACGTGCATGAGAGCCACACACACACGTGTATTTGGCGCAAAGCATCATGGGAGCTCGTCCACTGCGCAGAACCGGGGAGGGGCAGACGATGCCCAAATATAGGAGAGTTCTGCTAATCTCCCGGTCTCCATGAAGTCCCATGCGCTACTGAGCACAAGTCATTCATTTGAATAGGGCGCCATCTTGGATCACCGGGGCTTGGGGAAACCGGAGTACCTGGAGGAATCCTACGCAGACAGGGGGAGAACATGCAAACTCCACATAGAAAGGCCCTGTTCTGACCAGAATTCAAACCCAGGATGTTCTTGCACTATGCATTCTCTGATGACAAAAACAATAACTTGCTATTTACCCGAGGAAAACAGTAAAACGTGAGTTGGGCATGGGATTGGCCTTTCGTTTGCATGAAGACGGCGTTTTAGGTGGATGAAAACGCAAGACAAACAGCCACCAGAGTGGAAGAGAACAGATACGCTGCCCGGTGGGGTGCTGTTTCACAGCCATGTGAATTCTCTGGCTGCTATGACCTCACCACTTCCCCGCACTTAAAGGAGCTATACCCGTTTCTGCAAGGTTTGAATGTTTAGCACCGCCCCCCAACTCGCTCACAGGCTTCTCATTTCCCCTACGCTCTCATCCCACAGAGCAATCTAGTTTTTTATGAACACCTAAAAATAACAAAAAAAATCGGTTATATCTTCTTTAAATTTTGACATCTGCAGTAGCCGAGAACAAACGTGAACAACAATGGCAGCGGATCAGCTTCGAGCGCTGCACGGAGGACAATTCTACTCCTTTGGCCGTCCTAATGAAACCGTGCCAAGCTGGACTTTGTTTCTTTTTTTCGCTGCTACTGAATGCAGAATGATGTTGGTGCATTTTTTGCCGTGTTTGTGGTGGCCCAAGGAGGATGTTGTTGTTGCGTGTATCGCGTTGTAAAGTTCCACTGCCCACTACTGGCTGGGCATGTAGATAGGTAGATAGATACTTTATTCATCCCCTGTAGGAGAAATTCAGGTATCCAGCAGCAGAAGACTCATACCGGTTTGTTGCACAGCACAACATCTGACTGCTCAACGCTGTGCAAATAAGGAGTCTGGTTGTTTTTACAAATTGCTTTGCAGCGTCTCTGTTTAAACGAGGCCTTATTTAATCTTAAACAGATCTTGAAACGCTCCACAGCTGCCACAGGTGACCTCTGAAGTGCTTTGACAAGTTACGATTGCCGGATCTGCAGAACTTACCCTGCTCTGAGTAGATGTGGGAGGGGTTGTACTGGGAGATGTACTGGGAGCTCATGTCGCCGACGCCACCCGCCATGCCCGGGTAGAGGTGAGGCGGCGGGGGCATCATGGCGGGGTGCGGGATGAACGTAGGCAGGTGGGCGTGAGGCGGAGGAGGGGCATGGTGCAAAGGGGAAGGGCCCCCGGGGTGGAACTCTGGCTGCTGAGGTAAAACCAGGACCCGCCGCACCCCGTTTTCTTCGATGATCTGGAACAACACGAAGAAAATAACAAATTGTAAACCGCTTTGTGACTCTGGTCTGTGAAAGGCGGTATATAAATAAAGATTACTTACTTACTTACTTAGAAAGGTGTCTGGTTATACCGATGTGATATTTCAAAACCAATAAAGTTTTCATAATTACTTGAGCATTATTAAATTTAATGAAAAACATTAGAATGTTTTTTTATTAGAGTTTTTGTATATATCCTGAAAAGACTTTTTTGCCTTTAACATGTTTGCACACTTCTTTCTTTTGCACAAATCTTGAGTTATTCTATTCATGCCAAAAGTGACCCATACATTTCTCCTGTGTGAGATCAATAAAGTTTACAAAAAATATAATCATGTACCCAATTCAAATAAAGTGGCATGTTCATGATACTTTAATGTCTCTGAGCATGTTTAAATTAGGGATGTACCGACTCCAGGATTCGGGTTCGGCCGAATATTGGCTTTTTTGACGGGGTTCGGTTTCTGGCCGAACCTTAGAATTTTTCCCCACCGAACCCGAACCCTGCACTTACACTATGCGCGCTGTGGCTGTTGGATTCGTCACGGAAATCAGATTCGTTCGGAAGTGTAAATAAACATGCACTTTAGCTGAGGTTTATATCCTCTTGCTCTCTGTTCCTCTTCGGGTGCGCTGAGGTCTCTTCCTGGTCATGTGATCCCCGCGGACCAATGAGCTCTAGTTATACGTCGGTGCGAGGGGATGTTATGATTCTTGTTTTCACCTGTAATGCGGTTCTGATGGATCATAAACTAACTGCCTACTCACCAACTTTATGGAGCCGAATACCAGTGCCAGGTACTTGTCATCTGAGCTGCGTATGACTGTAGAGGCAGAGTTGGTGAGTCCATGTTTAGGCAACTAGCCTCTTAGCATTAGCTTCTTGTCTCTGACGAGTTTGGCATATTTCTCAAATGTCCATATATGTAATGTTTTGACCTGAACCAGTGGAAGCTATTTAAGCATGTGTGGTGCTTTAGCTCTTATTTTTACATGACATGCAGTAATATATGTACTTTATCTCTGAAGTTTTACACTGCTGTGAACTGAATGTATTTGTGTTTAAAGTGATAGTCTGTAACTCTAAATGAATTACACATTTTAGGAAATGTGCTAAATTGACCTCCTGGCCTTAAATTCAGATTCAGATTCATTTATTTGCCATTTGCAGTAAAACCACATAGGAAAAACTGTGCAAGACTACCCCGGTGTGCACAAATGTTGATATAAAATAAGTCATTTTATTAATTCTAATATTACGGGCAAGTCCCGCCTTCCCTGCTCTTAGCTATAGCTCAGAATCCACGGTGCCGTCGAGGTTAACCAATCGAGTCATGCCAAGGGCTGTCAATCATCTGCGCTGATGCTCGCAGCTGCTCATGCTCAGTTGTTTGTTTTCGCGGAGCCTCTATTAGGCTCTGGAACTACAGGAAAACTGAACAAAGAATTCTGAACATCCGCGCTGAGGTACTTATGTATATTCTGAACCTATATCCATAATCAGATCCTCTGCAGATGTGTCCTGTAATGTGCAATTCATGATAATAGCACTTCCTGGTTTGCCGCGATCGCTTTTTTTGTGCATAAAAACATTATTTTTTTCATGAAAACGTTCACAAATAATTCTGAAAACCTCTGTGCATGTGTATTAATAATGTATATGTATAATGTGTTCTCTGATTAACATTTCAAAGTGTTACGGAAACGTAGGTGTAGACCAATCAGAAAGGAAGGGGGAGGAGCTTGCGTCGTTTTTTTCAAATCAAGCACCTCTCTCTCTTTTTCTGACAAACTCCAGACAATCACTTTAATGATAAACGGGATTATTATAAATGTTATAATAATAGATTCTGGTCGAGCTACATGTCCAATTTGCAATGCCGATTTGTCTCATGGTGGTAAGGACCCTAAACAGTACACAACACCGCCGCTGTTAAAACATTTGCGTATGAAACATAAATGGACTGAGGATGGAATAGGATTCGGTATTTGGGTTCGGATTCGGCAGAATCTTAACCAGTGGATTCGGTATTCGGTCGAACCCCAAAAACCTGGATTCCGTACATCCCTAGTTTAAATGGACAACAGTGATTATCAAAATGATATTAGTGGACTGATTGTGCCCATTATAACTGTTGTAATCCAAATTACAATGCACAAATTGATGAACAAAGCCCTTTTATCAGGTTAACAAAAGTAGTGAAGCAATTTCTGCTTACTTGCGAAACATATCCAGGAGGCACATAGATTGGAGGCACTGAACCGTTTGGAGACATCATGGGAACCTGAGCAGGACCTGTGGATGACAAACCAGAGGACACTTTACAAAACTATACACTTGGAAGCTATAAGTAAGGGATAATGTATAGCATACAGGTCATTATCGGAAAATAAGTACCGACAGGGAAATAAGTACCTTCAGGGCGGTCTGCTTCCGCCCTGAAGGTACTTATTTTCCGATAATGACCTGTATGCTATACATTATCCCGCTTATTATACTGCTTTGTACCAACTTAACACACAAAATAAACTTCAGATCACTTTTATGAATGCCAAAAGTTTATTTAATGACAACAAATAAAGTAGTCCCAAAAAGTTTTCCCGTTGCTCGGCAACCGCGGGCAGGCAGTGTGGCTATGCTAGCAACAGTTAGGCTGGCAACTTCCAAACTAGAACTCTCTGGAACTGCATGAAAACTGAACAAAGAATTCTGAACATCAGCGGTGAGTGACCCATACATAAACCTAACCTAAATCGATCCTCTGCAAATGTGTCCGAAAATGTGCCGGTATCTTAAAATGTGCCGGTATCTACTTCCGGGTTTTTCGGGATCGCCTTTTCTCGCATTACATCAGAGTTTTTGTCATGAAAACGTAAACGGAAAATTCTGAAAACTTCCGTGCACTTGTATTAAGACTGGATATGTATAATTCACTCTCCGATAAACATTTCATTGCGTTGATTGATTGGCATTTGCGTTTATTGAGCGGCCAGAACTACTTCCGGGTTTTTCACGATCGCTTTTTGACGCAGAGAAATAGTATTTTTGTCATGAAGACAAGACCAGAAAATTCTGAAAATGTCCGTGCACGTGTGTGAAGAATGTATGTTGGAGCCAGTTTCCTATGTTTTCCTTTGCTGCCTCCTGCCACTGTGTGGCGCCACCTCGATAGTATGCCCTATATAAGTGGGGCACTAATGAAAGACAGGTGTTGTAGTGTGGAGGCAAACATCTTTCGACCGTTGTTTGTTACCACAGCTTTATATTTGTGTACTTGGCAACAATAAAGGATTGTAGAACACAGTATTTTGCTCTATTTGGATGGTGAGAGACACGCGTCCTAGACGCCAACACACTGCATCCAGCGGACCTTGCACAGGGCAAGTTTTGGCCACTACATTGTCGAAAGATAGCCTCAGGTACCGTCTGGGCGTGAAGATTGCGTCAGCTGTGATTGGCACAGCGCGGTTTCCTGGAGAGGAGTGGACCCACGACTACCGTGGCGGTGACTCGTTGCCACAGGGGCGCGGCGAACCGGCGGACTGTCGGCGGGAAGGAGGAAAGGGCAAAAACACCGGAGAGAGCACCGGCGTCCCCCACCACCAGCGCGGGCGAGGGAAGACTCGGCGCGCAAACTGTCCTGCAGCGGAGTGGCCCGCGGAGGAGCTTGGCACCACGTTTGGAGAAGGCTACGCGTGGTGAGCAGTTCTGATTTCTGTGTGCGACATAGGGCCGCACAGACTACACGTTTAGGAGCGGTACATGGACTGTGAGGTGGACACTGTAAAAAGGAACACTGTAAAAAATGTGCACCAGGGATTTGAACAAAACTGACAAAAAAGAGAGCTTCAGCTGCTGCAGCTTTGGTTAAAATAAAAGCTAAGCAAGCTGCGCTTCTAGTTAAAATGTCATTTTTGGAAGAGAAATATGAACTGGAAGCAAAGCAACTAGCCATTAAGAGACAATTGGAAGAGCTGGAATTTGAAACTAAAATGGCTGAAGTGACAGCTAAACTTGCAGTGTTGAATGCCTCAAAGAAGCATCGGCATAAAAATAAATCTCTTCCAATAGAGCCTAGGGTGCAAACACAAGTCCCAACCACAACTGTCCCTGCAGTTATAAAAGAAACTAGGACTGATGATGACTGGGATGGATTTAACTGGGAGCCACCAGTTTATGTACCCACTTTGGTGGGTTCACTTGAGCCAACTGGGACCGCTGATGACTGGGATGGATTTGACTGGGAGCCACCAGTTTACATTCCCACTTTGGTGGATGCGCTTGAGCCAACAGGGGCCGGTAGTGCCACACAAATGGCTGATGTGAACTGTTCATCTTCACCAGACCGTCAGGAGGAATTTGAGATTTCCCTTATGGACCATGAGCGAACGGTGACATTGGATTTGGACACTGAGACATGCTCGTGGAAAAAGATGGACAGTACAGAGGATGAAGAGCAGGAAACTTCTGCTGTTCCTGTCTTATTGACTGCCTTGCAGCCTGTAGTGGGAGGCCTGCTGCAGCAGAAGCTGGCCTGCAGTGGCCCAGACATGGTCACACCAGGCCACACCAGGATTTTTCCACTGCCACAGTGGCGTAGTAAAAGCAAGCACAACAATGCTTTTGTAAGAAACACTCATTTTGATTTTGTTGTTCTCGTGAACTGTCTTTGGATTCTGTATGTGCTTTCAGCCAGCAAAATGTTTAAGCTAAAGTTGCGCAAAGCTTTCAAAAGAAAGCGCTGGAAATAGTTTTGAATAATGAAACTTAACAGGATGGATATTAAATGCCAAATGTATTTTCTGTGTATTGAACAATGACTTTGAATATGTGGACATAGAAATTTTGTGTTTTTTGAAAAATATGTTCTCAATGTGACAAACTTGCTAAGTCAAAGTATGGCTCCATGTTTATTTGAATTTGTAATTGTTTAGCTCCTGGCTCTCACAATTAAGGGGCCGGTGTGTTGGAGCCAGTTTCCTATGATTTCCTTTGCTGCCTCCTGCCACTGTGTGGCGCCACCTCGATAGTATGCCCTATATAAGTGGGGCACTAATGAAAGACAGGTGTTGTAGTGTGGAGGCAAACATCTTTCGACCGTTGTTTGTTACCACAGCTTTATATTTGTGTACTTGGCAACAATAAAGGATTGTAGAACACAGTATTTTGCTCTATTTGGATGGTGAGAGACACGCGTCCTAGACGCCAACACACTGCATCCAGCGGACCTTGCACAGGGCAAGTTTTGGCCGCTACAATGTATATGTATAAGTATTCTCCGATTAACATTTAAGTGTGTTGATTGAGCGTGGCTAGCTCCGGAGTGGCCGGAACTACTTGCGGAGTTATTCACGCATTTGAAATACAAGCAGAGAGTGCGTTGCCAAAGGGCAGCGGTCATTATTGTTTTGAGAGGTCCGTTATAGAAAATAATGACCGGTAGAACGTTTTGAAATTACATTCAAATCAATGGAGCGTTCTACTGCTGCTGTGACGAGCCGTATAATAAATCACTATATGGTGATCCGGTTGTTCAACTGGCCAAATATTCATGTATGTATGAATAATAAAGACAGGCAAAAAAATACGTAAGAGCTTTAAGTTATGTTTAAATATGTGTCTGATGCATAATTATTATTATTGACAATAATTGTTAAACTATGGCCTTCATTATGTCACTGTTCCACAAACATTCCGTGGGAAACAAAAATAAATATTAAAATGCGGAAAGATCTCAAAGGATTGAGAGGTAATGCCCCCACCATAATAAAATGATATGCACACAAACAAGACCATAAAACCATATTGGACATTTGCTGCAAGTCACACTATCTGTGCTCATAATAAAAAAGCAGTTATGTAACTGCAGACAGTCAATAAAACGTTCTCAGAGAAGGACCTATAAAGCCAGCAAGTGTTTCTCTGACACAAGACACGGGCAATATGTAGTGTTTACTTGGGCTGTGTATGAAACGGCAGAGGGGGTTTGAAATAATGATAAAAACATCGAGGTCAGGGCTGACGTGGCAAAACATTCTGTCATGTAAAGAACACACAAAGATGGAAACTTGTCCTGAAGACTCAACTGACTCTTCCCAGTTTTCCGGTCTTTGTCCAGCCCAGTTATTGCTCATAGTTTGAAAAGGCACTTTTCCCCGCCACAGTGTAACAAAAGGCATTAATGCACACCCCACACTTAAAAGTGCTGAGGAACAAAGTTTGCTGTGTGGTTGTATTGTGGGCAGAGTAGCAGCTTAGTTTGGAGTAGTGACAGCTCAGCAGAAAGCTGAGATAGAGGGAGCACGAGAGAACACACATTTCTCCTGTTACAGAACTCAAACTCCACAGCCTCTGTAAAGCGGAGACACATACGACTAGGCCTTTCAATCATGTGTCAGGACTTACATAAGCAGTTTAAAGACATGTGCATCCAGAGGCGGGGTTAATGACGGCAGTGGCCCCGCCCCCTCAGGTGTTGAAGAGGAGACCGCACAGCAGCTTGTGGCTACATCGGCAGCTGAGGCTATAAAAAGCCCCTGCCACTGAAACCAACACCAGATCTGCTCTACACATTTAAAGGCGTCAACTCTCACTGCTATTTCTGTTTATGTGATACAATATTTAGCTAATAAAAAGCCTCGTCAAGGAGGCTTATTAGTAACACTGAGGGAGTCATTAGGACTGGTATGAATGAGTTATATTTCAACTTGTAACATTCAAGCGTATTAAAGATTGACTGATAGCAACAGTTTTGACTTAATTCTACTTTCAGTATTTTATGCTGTCAGGATTGTGTGATGGGTTGTGCTTACTTTGGGCACACAAAAAAGAATCCACAGATTGTCTATGTATTCTTCTACAGTATATTGTCATCCGGTGAAGGAAAGTAATGAACATATTGGAACCTTACCGCAAAATTCCCCATAACATTTTTCTTTTCAGAGTTGGTGTATTTTGTGTGTGTTTGAAGGCTAATCACATTGTGAACTATATCATGTAGTGAGTAAAGTGGTAAATATCTCCAGATTGTATAAATCACAAAAGGGCAAAGATCGTTGAAGTCCCTCTTAGTAGCTGATAGTGAGTCATATGGAGCACAGGCTATAAGAGGTATGACTGAAGATGGAGAGCTCAGCTTGACTAAATGCACACTGGTCACAGTGGTTCAATCCTTATTGATTTCAGATTACAGTATTGTTTGAGTAGGAGTTCAAAGAGCGTGCAAGGAACTGCTTTTTTTCTCTTATTAACTGATGTATATGTAGTGTGGAGCTTGGCTAGCACCTGTGCGAGCA